TAACTCAACAAACTCAATTATAACACACAAAATTTGTATTTCAGTTATAAAAAAAGATTCTTAACCGAAAAATATCCCAAAAATATAGCAATCTTCAGAGAAATTATATAATACATCTGAATACATAAATTATATTAATTAAAAAAAATATATGAATACATTCATGGCATATAGCGAGACAGTGAACACAAATGAAATACATAGAATACAGCGGGATACATTAAAATACATTGAGAAAAAAGACAGTGAATACAATGAAATACATGGAATACAACGAGATACATTGAATTACAATGAAAAAAAAGACAATGAATACAATGAAATACATGAAAATACAGCGTGGTACGTTGAAAATACATTGAAATATATTAACAGAAAATCAAGTTGCTCAGCCCCAAAATCCATCGTATTTGTTCGAGAACAAACCCTAATTTTCGGCGATTAGCAATATACTCATTGTACACAACAGTCGCAGCCACACGACTGAAGCGGTGGCTACGCTTCATGTGCTCGAGAAATAAGCTCTCAAATCCGAATAGCCACCGACAATATGATTTGGGTTTTGACCGAAAATTTCCATTTGACGCTGATGAGATTCACTCATACAGTGGCACTTGAATCCGTTTTCGTCTCGACATTGCTTCTGACACATTGGCAGTACCATCATAGCTTCCATAAGCTCTTAGCTTTGATTCAATTGGCAATTGCCTTTGGGGTTAAAAAATCGTATCAAACTAAAATCTATATCAATGGTTATTGTTTCAGAAACAAACTAAAATGTGTATCAAAATTAGAGAAACAAAATAATGATATCAAAATCTAAGAATTAAACTTACCCTAAGCACTTGTATCGGCTCTAAAACAGTGATTTTAGAGAGAAAAGAAATGGAGAGTGATAGAGACCTAGAGAATTTGGGTGGGAGAAGAGGTATGTATCGTGGGTTTGTGGGAGAAGAAAGTAAAGTGTATGCAAAAAGAGAGAGAGAGAACGTGGTTAGAGCAGATATACGGTGATTATGTGAGAGAAAAGACTAAAAAGGAGAGAGAAAAATATTATTTAGCATATATGGTGCCTTAAATGTAGGATGTAACTATAATTAGATATTTTGCTATAAAGGATAAAAGGTATCTATAGAATGTAATATTTTAAAATAATATTTATTTAAAATAAATAGGGTACTAAGTTTTTCTATAGGGTGTAAAATTTCCTTATAAAAAGGTGGGTGGTTTAGTATTGGGGAAGTGGACCTGCTGAATTGGGCCATCAAGATTCGAAATTGGGCTTAATATTTGGGGCTTCTTCAACTATTTAAGATATGAAAATTAACTAGCTAAGACCCAAATTTATGTTAATATAAAGTACTTATAAAATTATAAAATCACTCCTAATTGATTAGAATAAACTATTAAAATATAACTAAATATTGAAAGTGAAATAATTTTTGGTATTTTTAAAGATTATACTTAAAATAAGGCTAAAAGCATAGCGTTACAAAATACTAATAGAAATATGTAACAAGATAAAAAATATTATAAAATGAAATTACTTTGAGTTTTCAAATTTTATGTTATGTAATTAAAATTAAATTAAAAATAAACTAAAATCCTATAAGAATAAAACAAGTAAATATTAATTTTTAAAAGCGTGTGAGTCAAAAATTACGTGCTTACAGTACTTAGGGACCCAAACAAAGAAATAAACATATTCAATAAACATGCATTTATTTTCATTTGGTTTTCCTTTTAATATCCAACCCCACGATCCATAACAAAAAATCCATTTTTTCTCAATTTCTTATGGCTCGACATCAAAAAAAAATTACGACAAAACAACTCAAACATTAAAACATTAAGAAAACAACTCTCAGAATTACACAATATATGAGCAACTGATTTAACATGATGGTAGCCCATTGGGAATCTAGACTTCATGATCCAAGATGGCAGGGGTTTGAGCCCATTTGACTAAAAAAACTTGTCGTATTAGTCTGGACCTTAAAGACCATCCTAGCCCAATAAGAAAGATAAATATGACATTAATCAGATCCAATATTGTGACCAGAAAATTACATTCAATTAGAGGCGGAACCAGGATTTGAAAGTTAAGGATTCTGATCTTATTATTGAACCCTAACTCGTTATAGTTAATGGGTTCGCAATTAAATATTTTTATTTATTTAATGAATTTTCTAATACAAATACAAGGTTTAAGCAAAAGCTACTGGGTTCGTCCGAACCGGTAGCTATTACACTACCTCCGCCACTGCATTCAATGACCTTGAAAATTAATGGTCTTGTTTTCTGACTCCCGCATGCTTCATGAACAAATCTTTAATGTCAAAATTCGAAACTGTTGTCCATAGATAAGCAAGGGATAACACTTGTTAAACTTTAAATTCTACCAATAAAGCAAGCGGGATCGAAAAATAAGTAGTGGCATCGAAGTATCCTATTTGTACTAAGTCACCCCATTGTGACCCGCTAAAGAGACTTGGCAGTTGGCAGTTGGCACTTGGAATCCATACCAACGAATGGAGCATGTGAGGGTGACTCACCATAATGAAGTTTTAACGACATGAAATTTTTGTCTTCTTTTGAGAACTTATTTCACAAACTAAAACAAGTAAAATCTTTTCCATTGAACGTATAACATATTACAGACTCTAAACTGTGATGTCCCTTAAAAATAAAAAGAGGAGAACCAGAAACTATTTATTACTCCTCTAACACCAAATACTAGCAAACTCAAATTACTCCTCAAATTACCATGCCATACTAATCCGTAGCAACACCAACATGAAGAATACTAATCAAAAGATTATTCTACCAATAAGATGTGATCAATATGCTTAGTTCATGACTCAATATGCTGTGAAATTTAACTTCTCTAGATAAAGTTACTAGCGGCTTATTTTTCTACTTCCTATAAACGGTTAACGCTATTTTTTTTTTTTTAATTTTTTTTTTATACTTCTTGTTGTAAATAACAGTAGAAAACTAAAAAAAAGCAAGAACAGAGAAGAGGATTTTTCTTCTTTTGTAAACACATAATATTGAAGATATTTAGTTTCACCAAGATGTACGGTTAAGGTGGATATTAGAAAGGCATATGACTCAGTGGACTGGAATTTTCTAAGGGCTCTTATGCTGGAACTTGGTATCCCTTGTAAAATGGTCAACCTCATTAAGGAGTGTGTAAGCACAGTTTCATACTCCCTACTGATCAATGGAGGATTAACAACAAAGTTTCAAGCGAAAAAAGGATTAAGACAAGGCGACCCAATGTCACCTTATCTTTTTGTTTTGGTGATGGAGTACTTGAACAGATCTTTGAAGCAGCTGAAATCAAATCCAGATTTTAACTACCATCCTAAATGTGCAAAATTGGGAATAGTTCACATCTGTTTTGCTGATGACTTATTATTGTGCTGTAGAGCTGATAAGGTGTCTATTGAACTTATGATGAAACAATTTGAAAAATTCTCCACAACTTCAGGCTTACAAGCTAACATGGAAAAGAGCTCATTCTATGTGGCAGGAATATCTAATCAACACAAGCAAGAAATACTGGAGGAGCTGCAGTTCACCATCGGAGAAATATCATTCAAGTACCTAGGTGTCCCTTTATCCTCAAAGAAACTCACCATTAGTCAATGCGTGCCTTTGGTTGATAGAATTGCAGGAAAGGTCAGATGCTGGACAGCCAGATTTTTATCATATGCAGGGAGAGTCCAACTAATCAAAAGTGTGTTGTTTGAAATGCAAAGATATTGGGCACAAGTCTTCATGATTCCAAAAAAAGTACATGATCTGGTTACAGGGATATGCAGGAACTTTCTATGGCAGGGAAGCAAGGAAGGAAAGAAAGCTCCTATAGCATGGGATACAATTTGCAAGCCAAGAGCAGCAGGAGGACTGGACATTATAACTTCTCTATGTGGAATAGAGCAGCAATAGGGAAACTGTTATGGGCAATTGCACAGAAGAAAGATGATGTTCTAAACGTCAATACCACACAAGAGGGGGGGGGGGAGTGATTTGTGTGGTACCCAATTTTTCGCTTAAACTGCTTCTGGAAGGACCTGGTTCTTCTAGGTATACTAACTACTGCTGTTTGCGGAATAATAAATACAAAAATAAAGAACACAGAGATTTTACGTGGAAAACACCTGGCTCAAAAGGTGAAAAAACCACGACCTACTACTCAGTAGGATTTTCCCAAACTTCCACTAAAATCACTGAGCCAAAACTGCATTTACAAAACTCTTTGTAAACCTAAGGATTAACTCTAATCCCGTTGTGGCAACCAGCCTCTAACTGCTGCGACAACTTCAAGTTAACTCTAACTTGAATACTCAAAGTACCTAATACAATTGCTTCTATGAAAGCTGAAAGGTACAATATGAACACCTACTACAATTGAACTAGAAATAAAGAAAAACACATAAAACTCTTTATGAAGCTGGTTCTTCAATCTGGTTCATGTAGCTTCTTGTTTGCATACTTGAATCACACACGAACTGCTTGCAAAAAGCCTTGCTATTTTGCTCCCAATTCACGTTTAACTTCTGCGTTTTTGTGCAACAATTTAATTTGAGAACATCCTGCAATTTATAGAGTTAGTAGATGAAGAAATAACTAGAGTTCTGATGCAACTCTTCCTTGGTGGAAGAGTTCTAGTTGATTTCAACTTCTAACTCCTTCCCTATCTTGAATTGTGTTCTCTTTGATTAAGGAGTCCTTCTCCTTATCAATTATGCAACCTTTTCGATCAGGAGATATTAAATACACCAATTTAAGCTTATCTCCTTCACGTGCATCCCACATGCTTGAATCTGCCCGTTTTTGTGAACCTGAGGGATGGACCACTGGATGGACCTGGTTCATATCTGAGTTCCTTTGTCAGTCTTCAAAACTAACCTTTACTTGGGCCAACAAAAGACAAGTTATGGGTTATGTGGATACATAATCACTATATAAAGAAAAAAGATATTGAAAACATGGAAACTCCTAAACAGGCTAGCTGGATGGTAAGGAAATATTTGAAGCCACAAAATGGCTAACCACTGGAATACAAGAGCTGGAACTATATGTTGTGCAGGGGAAGTATACTATCAGCAAAGCTTATCATTCCTTCATACCACAATATCCAAAAGTTACTTGGAAGACATTGTACTTGACACAAGGTATGTTCCCTGGGCATCAATTCATTGTGTGGATGGCACTGCATCGGAGACTAGCAACTGTGGATAGGCTGATCAAATGGGGAATACCAGTACCTGCAGAATGTGTTCTGTGTATGACAAATGAAGAGGAAGCTTATGATCACTTGTTCTTTGAATGCTCATATTCAAAGTTCATATGGAAGCAAATTTTGAGGCTGTTTGGAATTGATCGACAAGTAGGTAGATGGCGCGAAGCGATTGAATGGATGGCTAAAAAAACAAAGAGCAGGAATACAAAATGGAAGATTCTGGGAAATGCCTTTGCAGAAACAGTATATCACACATGGATGGAAAGGAACCTACGAAGGTCTCAACAGATAAGGAAATAAAGTAGGGATAGAGTTAGAGAAATTGTATTGCATTTGCACATTAAAGGAAATAGCTACTGTAAATGGAGAGTTATCTTAGATAGGATAAATAGATATCCATGTTAGTATAGAGTTTAAGTTCCAGATATGGAACTTATGTGATAAAAAGATAGGTTATTTTTGTAAGACCCGACTCTAGAGTCCAATGAGCGGGTGGATGTACATATTTACACTTGGTTAAATAAAAGTTTTCAGTTTAACCAAAAAAAAAGATATTTAGTTCGTGGAACCAAGTTATTGTTGGGGTTTTTGTATTTATTATATTAAATACATAAAAGAGGGTGAATGGGAAATGGAGGGAAATAAAATTTTAGAGTGAAATTTTAAGTTTTCCCTCTTGGAAAATGCACATTGTCCCATATTGGAAGAGGAAGAGGTTTTTTATGGGTATATAAGCAATTGCTCTACTTCTAGCTCTTAAAGAGTTGAGAAGAAGGCAAACCTCGCGCCGTCGTCATCGTCGCTCGGCTCGGCTTCGGCTTCGGCTTCGGATTCGGATTCAGATTCGGATTCGGATTCGAATTTGGTCAACTGATCGATTGATTGATTAACTTTTTGGACCAAATTTATTTGTTAATAGTAAAATATTAACAGAAATATTATTAAGTACTTGTTTTAATTAAAATAAATATTAATATTAAATCCTCCAATCTGTTTTTTCTGTTTTGTTAACAGAAAAGTAACTACCCTCTTCAATTTTCCCTCTTTATTGTTGAGTAAATAGCCATTTATGTAATGGCATTTATGCTGTGGCCATTTTGCATAAACAGCCATTCTGAAGAGTTGCACCTCTTCAGATTCCAGTCCAACTTTGGCTATAAATACAAGGCTATTCTACTCAAAATTTTCATACGATTTTCTGAGTTTCTCCTCCTTCTTCTGCATACTTTTAGCATCAAACAAAGCAACAGTAAGTGTGACTTGCTACCGAACTTTGTGTTCGCTGAAACACTGGGGTTTGAAGTACCACTACACCAGTGTGTAATTCGTTCTATCCTGGGAGGAAATAATCCATAACCTTGGGTACTAGGTGGGGATTAAATTCCTTAAGGAAACACTGTGAATTCAGTGAGCTCGAATTGGTTTTCTGTTATTTCGTTGTTCATTTCCGTTTATGTTCATTTCTGTCTATGTTCATTTCTGTTTATGTTCATTTATATTTCCAGAACTATTTTACAAATACGGTATACTAACAAGCTTAAGGAATTTAATATATATTTTCTGTATTTGTACTCACTGTTTCTGGAGAGTAAAACCTTTGTGGTTTTGTACTCTATTGGAGATTAAAATCTACGTGATTTTAACGTTTGTGTCATTCTTTTACAGAAATGACTAATGAAAATGTGAACCAAGCTGTTCCAATGGTGACTGCCAATGCCTCTGTTACACCCCGTGTTTTCGTACTAAGAATACATCATAAGTCAATTAATGTAAGCTAAGAAAGGGAATCGTCTTTTAAAAGTTTACAAAGTTAGTTCATCATGTTAACGTGGAGGTTACAAATATTTAAGATCATTAGTACCAAGTAGCAAGAGGGTTTGAAGGCTTAGAAGCTAAACGAATTGAAGAAAATAAGTTTCGTCGAAAGTCGACAAGTTGGAATGTTTTACCATGTACTTTTGGGGTGATACTAGGGTTATTAACATTATAAGGAGATTATATTATGAGTTGTTTTAGTCGTACGATAGTTGGTGTTATGTTTTGAAGTCAAGCGAGTTGTGGAACAAAAGTTGGAAAAAGGTCATCACAAGTTCCATTCATAAATGTGCTGAAAATTAGGTCAAATGTAACTGAGTTTTTCTCCCAAAATACTTGAAATTAGGGGATGATCTGCCTATCAAATTAAAGATCTATGAGTCTAGTTTCCAACTCATTAAACCGTTCATCAATACGACATTGGAGTAGAGAGATATAGGTATTTTTGCGAGACTGCACAAGCTGCTAGGTGACAAGTAGGTGTGTCACCTACTTGGTTAAATGATAGCCCAAAAATAGGAAATTTCGGGTCGGCCAAAGAGCCCATTTAAAGGGTTATCTCCTGAAATATAACCCTAATTATATATCACAAATAACCAGACCTAAACCCCTGCAAACTTCCTCCCAAAAATTATCCACAAACCCTAATCGATTTTCCCTCTCTTTCAAGTTCTAATTGGGGGTAAAACCAAGAGTTTGAAGAATCAAGGGAAGGGCTGAGTTATCCAACAAGTAAGGTGAGTTTACTGCTCTGTTTCATACATTTATTCTGCTGTGAATTCATGGTAATTCGTTCTATACATGTAAGAACTCACGGGACGGTGATCGGAAGCCGTGAGTTCGAGTTATTCACTTGTAGCGGACTGTTTTGTGTTGCTGTTGGGCTGCGTGTTTTACTACTGTTTTGTGGAGTTTTGGAGGAGGAAGTATGTGGAAAAACACCATATAGATGTAGGGTTGTGGGCTGGTAGTTCTTCGTAACATTTCCGGATCGTTTGACACGACTACGGTGGTCGTCGTATGTATGAAGTGATTAGGTTGTGCGTGGACTGTTTTGGGAGGCTCAATATGATTATTATTGATGTTGTTTGGGCTGTTTGGTGATTGTTTGGAATTGTGTGAAGTCATATATATAGGGGAGGTGCTGTCCGTTTCATCGTAAAATAGGTTGTGGTCGATACATAATAGTTATGACACTTGAATGATAACTACAGTATCGTTTCTCTTATTGTAGACTAAGGAGTCGTGAAAATTGCATAGCTTGAGATTGGGGCAGTATATACAAGGTATGTTAAGGCTCTTACTTCTTTCTTTTGGCATGATCTAAAGTGAAATGAACATAAACGATACGCTATTTCATAACGAATCCACTCCTAGCAACTAAGGTTATCCATGTTGTTCTTTCCGTACAAATTTATTCTAAGAAAGTATGTATGATCCTTGAGTCCTAGTGAAGTTCATATTGATGGTATGATGTCCATAATGTTAATCGATGGTGCAATGACCTTATGTCACTCCAAAAGGTTTAGAACGTGACTCCATGAGTCCAGCATGCATTATATATGTATCTACTTTACTCTACTGAGTCGCGCTATAGTCGGCCGGGTATGGCACCTATTGTGCAACCACTGATCAGTTGGGTTTACCGAGCTTCACGTGGCCGGGTACGATTCTACCGAGCCTTATGATGGCCGGGTACGTTTTTACCGAGTCCTCTTTGAGGCCGGGTATGATATGATGATGACGATGCCCACAGAGGCTTATGTTTTTAAAAGTTTATGTATATATATGTATTATGCATTTCATGTCAGTAGCCCCCAGAGGCACTCCGATGTTCCAGGTTGTATCTCCTCTATCTCTCTTTACATTACTATTCTTATTTATGTTTTCCTGCCTTACATACTCGGTACTTTATTCGTACTGACGTCCCTTTTGCCTGGGGATGCTGCGTTTCATGCTCGCAGGTCCCGAGAGACAGGTTGACATTCCTCCTAGATGGCTATCAGCTCAGCGAAGGTGTTGGTGTACTCCACTTGCTCCGGAGTTGCCTATTTGGTTAGTATGCTTTGGATATGTATTGATTGGTATGGCGGGGCCCTGTCCCGACCATTATGATTTTATGTACTCTTAGAGGCTTGTAGACAGATGTCAGGTGTATGGATACTTGTATGGCCTTGTCGGCCTATGTTTTGAGTTTACAAATGGTCATGTTTGCCTTATAGGCCCGTATGTCACATGTATAAGTTTGTTTATCATG